ACACTTTTGACTCAGCGAACAATTTTCAATAGGACTATAAGTATGAGGGGCCTCTAGGGACATTATTCAGAAATACCGTTCACTTACACATGTGAAACACTCTCACACACACAACTGAAACCAAAATAATTTACAAACATATCTAAAAATCTCTCATATACACATATGAAACGCTCTCACACACATGACATCCAAAGTTATTCACACACACATGTGAAACGCACGCACTCACACCTGAAACGCTCTCACACACGAAACGCTCTCCCACAGATATGAAACGCTCTCACACACATGAAATGCAATTTCAGTATGTTGTGTGAGAGGGATTTCAGTTGAATCTGAAGGCATCTCGGTTGAAAAGGAAGTCGTTTAAAAAAAAAAAAACTGCGAAGAAGCGCACATTTCTAAAAGGCGAGATGCCTTCCGTTTCAACTGAAATCCCTCTCACACAACATATTGAAATCGCATTTAATGTGTATATGAGTGCGTTTCATGTGTGTGTAAGAGCGTTTCACATGTGTGTGTGTGTGAGGGCGTTTCACATGTGTGTGTGTGTGTGTGTGTGTGTGAGGGCGTTTCAGGTGTATGCGAGTGCGTTTCAGGTGTGTGTGTGAGTACGTTTCACATGTGTGTGAGTGCGTTTCATATGTGAATAACTTTGGATGTCATGTGTGTGAGAGCGTTTCATATGTGTATATGAGAGATTTTTACATATGTTTGTAAATTATTTTGGTTTCAGTTGTATGTGTGAGAGTGTTTCACATGTGTAAGTGAACGGTATTTCTGAATATTGTCCCTAGCGGCCCCTCATATATAAGTGCCCTAATCACTTATGAACTTTTTCCAATCGGCCATAGCCTTTTTGTATGAAGTAGTCATGTCACGGTCGTGAATGGCGTCCAAGAGGACTTCTGTCTGCACCACAGACAGGAGTGTTGCAATGCACTTAGGATAGGTGAGGTGAAAGGTGCAATAACATGCCATGAGATACATCACGCTTTCATGAATGTCCTCTTTTGGGAAGATGAGCACGGGCATGGTTCCAATGGCCAGTATACAGTTGGTTTCGCAGATGATGACAACAGGGCTGGAAAGTGGTCGTGTCTGAAGAAAGGTGTTTGGGTCTTCTGCAGACTGACACAAAAACAGACAAAGAAATCGTCACAAAAAGGGAAACAAATATGATCACAACATTTCACTCTTTGTATCGACATGAGAAAATTCTTATACATTTTCTTACCTCAAGGACGTGGAGCACAGCCTCACTTGCGTGCCTTAACTTCTTGGGTGGGATGATGATGGTGATGGGAACATCTCTGGTAAAGCCTTCATCATGGCAATTGAGTGCCTTACTGTTGAAAAAAAAAGTGTCATTCCGTTTCCTGCAGTCAGTTAATAAACAGACATGGTCAGAGATAATAATCACCTTTGTCAAGCTGCGGAGGCCTCATGAGCTTTTTGAAAACTCCATAAAACTGTGCCCTCTCACAAAAGGTCCCCCACCGGGTCTTAAGTTCCGTTAAGAAGTGGGAGTTGCCTTGATTGAGGACCCGCCGTAGTTCATCCATTAGCTAAGACAACGAGAGAGAAAATATGTAGAAGAAATATTAAAATCTACATTCCAAGGGTTAGTAATTCGTCTCATAACTGAATTTCCAAAAAAAGATTAATATGTGTATAATGTGATTTAAATGGTCACTTAACAAAAATATGCACATAGAAACATGTGTTTTTTTGCAAATGTATGTCTTATGCACACACTATTTTTAAATACGTATTGTGGACCAATAATACTAACAAAATAATGTTGTGTGTATCAGAAGCACATTTGTGAAATTAGTTATTTTTAAATAAGTGGAGGGTTTTTATATATATCTATGCAGAATAAATATTTGTATTCAATAAGCATATTTGAGTCATTCATTTATAAATAATGAGACAGATCTGATTTAATTGTCACACCATTTCTCATTTCAAATTTGGTCTAACGTTATCTGAATTAGGAAGCATAGTTGTACAACATTTGCTTACATGATCCAGTTCTCCAAAGCAAGGATAAGCTTTAAGAATCTTGGAAGGCCTGTCCTGCTCCTTTGTAACATCAGAGTCAATGAAGGCCCTTCTCGCTTGGATTTCGAGGTCCAGGAGCTGAGCAACATCCATCTTGTTCGGTCTGGCCTTGGTTTTATACATCGCCTGTAGAGTCTTATAGTGTCTCGCCTGGGTCTGTGGGCTCTCAGTTTCTGATGCTAGAAAACATAAACCCCACTATTTTCATTTCTGATGTTAAAGTTGAAATGAGACATTAACACACAAACAGCCATAGTGACTGACACAGGGCAAACATAGATGAGTAATCTTGAATAAAAAAGGGTTCTAAAATAGCTTATTGATATTATTAAATTTTCTTGAAGAGATTTAACTATCTACTATTTCAATTTCTGTACTTACCACATAACTGTTCAGCCTCCGGGGTGCTGCATCGAGATGGTGGTGATCTCTCTAAGATCAAGGTTGATGCGGTGGATTCATCAGTCTCATCAGTGGACGTCTCATGGCTGCTTTGAAAGCTTAAACTCCTAGGCCTCTTTCTTGAAGGAGTTGAACCCTGCTTCTTTTTGGGGGTTGTCACATTCTGGACCCTTTTCAAAAGCTGCTTTTTCACAGTTTCCTTACAAGACAGACATACAACAGGTTCTGTTATAACTCACATAAAACAAACTTGTATCAAACAAAATACACCATACAAGCAGTTGCACAGAGCTCTTATTGAACTGGATAAAACACATCACTCCCAGTTTGATAGGCAAATTATTGCAGTGCTTTGTCTGAACCATGAGTTGAAAACTTGAATAGTGACATACCCACTCAGCTCTACTGGTTTGAGATCTGTCCCGAAGCATTGGGTAGTACTCAAGCAGACGCTTCGCCATTACAGTGAGTTCACGGCTGCATGGATAGTTAAAGTCATCCCCAGCTGCTCTTTTAATGGAAAGCATGCTTGTGACTGTATTCCTGATTAATCGACAGCGAAGATCTTTGGAAAGGACGTAGTCTCCTTCTTCTCCAGCACGCTGCTTTTCAGAAAAGGTGCTTCGTGATTGCTCCAATTCTGTGTCTGTGTATAAAACATACAGTGGACTGGGAAGCTGTACGGTTCTGCTGGCACCATGTTGGGGTTGTGGGCTTTGAGAGGAGAAGGAGGGTGGAGAAAAGACGGGGGATGGAGAGGGGTTGGGGCAGGAGGAGGAAGAGGAGGGAAACAAGGAAGGTTGGGGGGTAGGAATAGGGCTGAAATCACAAGTCCCATGGGAGGTACTCGGTCTACACAGGTCTGTCTCCTGGCCCTGTATAAAAGATGCATATATATATATAAAATGGTATTTACAATGAAAAGAGCACTACGCTGTGACAACAACAAAAATCAACACAACCAAAAAACTCCACTTCAAATAACTGCATGATGACTAGGAAAGGCTTACTTGGTAACAGGTTTAAAGTCCCTCAAATGTTAGAATCTGGAATTAACTCATTTTCATCATGATTGAGTCTCCAAATGGTTCTTCTTCTTCTGAAGTGCTCAGGCCCGGGAAGGAGATCACGCAAGTCCTCCTTAGAGAGGCTGGGCAGCATGTCTCTGCTTATATTAGCAGCTGAAAACACATTTAACCACACAGTTAATAATAAGGTAAAAAGCAACTAATAACATATTTATCTAAATACATAAAATGAAAGAGTAATGTACATTTCTGGCTGGCTTCACAAGATTTTCTTTAACATTAAAAAATGTATTGCACTTACTTATAATTGATTGAAAAAATTGCTGTTACAATAGGTTCATCCAGAGTTAAAGTTATTTTGGCCAAATGAAAAGGCACCAGGGAAATGAATAAACGAGGCATGTTGTTAGGATAAATCCATAACACAAATGTGTAAAATCTCATAGGCTATAAAAGTTATACATTTTCAGCATCTTTTATAGTACAATAAAACAAATCTTGATGTTTATGAGCAAACACAGTTAAACTTATTTTCAAAACAGTGTCTTTACCTTGAAATCTTTATTCAAATAAGCATAATTTACGTCCCAAGCCTGCTTATATCCAAAGGACAGTGTAGTTTCAATAGCCTGCACTGCACTATCATACAACAACGCATTTGTAAATGATGTCTACAACAAAGAAGGGCGCCAAAGATGGCTATGCTAGTGTACAACAAAGAAGGGCGCCAAAGATGGCTATGCTAGTGTACAACAAAGAAGGGCGCCAAAGATGGCTATGCTAGTGTACAACAAAGAAGGGCGCCAAAGATGGCTATGCTAAATACTTTACTGTCAGTTGTGGAAGGCTCATTTGCTTCTTGACATTATTTCTGGCAATAAAACAGTATCAACTAAAATGTTAACCACGATTTGTCGATTGTGCCGTTATTAACAGCTTACAGTAGATATTAGCTAAGTTAACTAGATATGTAGCCAGCCTAACTAAATTCAACCGATTCAAATAATGTAAAGCTTGCTGGAGAGGTGCAGTATAAAATACAAAATTACATTACCTTTTAATGCTGCAGTTGCTATAGGATCCAAGCATGTGATATCTCTTCCATTTTCATCCATGGCGTAGTTTTAATGTTCAATCACTTGCAGAGGTTCAGTCTTCTGCCTGAAGGAAAGCTAGCCAGCAACGTCCTGAAGCTAGGTGCACCTGACCTAACACACGCCCTTAACGGACCCTCTTCGCGGTTCCCATTGGAAGGTACCATTTCTTAAAGAGGGGTGACAGAGATATTTTATATGTTGCAAATATTAGGAATATTAATAACTGATGCGGTCATAGGTAACATTTCAAACATCTGTTTCTAGATGCACATCATTCCACAAGTTATTCCCAGGCATTATTATGACGTGTATATATATATAGGAAGACGACTCACCGGCCTCCCCCATACAGCTAGAGAATGTGATAAACCCACTTCATTAGTTATTTTCCCCAACTTGTACATGGCCTGCTGCAGAAACGTTTTAATATCGTTAACTTTTGGAAGATTTCACGATGCTTTGGCGGTGCGTTATCTGCTGCGTTTTTATAACTTTTTCACTGAAATTATTATTGAGCCATATTAATCGACTGCACAGTCGCAGCTCTGACTTCAGGTTGCTCTGTGGCATTGATGGATGCACTGAGGAATATAGAGTGTACAACTCATTCTACCATCATGTAAAGAGAAGACACTTTCAACATCTTCTTGAAGACACCAGACCTGGCGACGCCACACGTGGAGATGAAAACCGACAGGAGGAAACCCAAGGACCGCAGCAAAAAGTAAGTAACGTCTGCTAATTCAGCTAAGATTGTTAGCTACAGTGTTTGGGCCACGTGGCCACTCGGATACAGAGTTAGTTTCGTACATTTTGTGATGCTACAGATAGCGTTAGCCAATACTGATCAGCCACATTTAGTTATTATAAATCCATTAGCATTAACTAATGAATCTGCTAGGCTACAAGCAGGCGGCATCTGTCAACCATATATTTTTAATTCAGCAGTTAGCTATGTAGTGTTTTTGTGGGGATGAAAAAACCGTTAAAAATATGCATTACGTTGGTGTTCGGCCACAGTTACTAAAACAGTAAATCACAAAAATTATGGTTTTCCACTTTTTCACTCTGCAATATTCTGCAAGGTGCATGCATCACTGTCAGGATCTGCACATGATTTGTTGAATTCACAGTTTTAGCAAATCAGAAATAAATCTCAAATTCTTTACCCACTATTAAACTTAAAACAAAAATAAATAGATTTTCAGATTTGATTAGAAAAAAAAGTTTCATGGTTTTGTTTTCTGGACTGAAAAAATGTAATAAAGAGTGTTACCCAGACAATGGATAAAGGGCTACGGCTTACAGTTAATAATTGTTGCTGAAATAACTCTTACCCCCAAAGTTTGTTTAATGTGAAAATAATCTTAGATAGAAAGGAATTACATATTTAAATTGCTCTTTTAGTGAAGCTAATTTTTTAATTTTTTACAATTTCAAACAATCTTGTTTCTTTGATATGTTGTACACAGGACAACATTCAACCCGATCAGCTTCCAGCCGACTCCAGCAGCAAGGATCAGAACCTTCACACACCTGACTCAGTTGAAGAGCAAATGGGCATCGACCAAGATGGAGCTGTCACAGTGCACCAAGTATGTTTTCTTTGTTGTTGACTATCTACTGAAAATTAAGGGCTGCTAAATAAAGGTCAGGCCGATATAGTAGTGGCTAATATTGGCCTAGCATATCATTTATATATCAATATTATGTTGAAATATTTCATTTAAATTCACCAAATGATTCATAAAACCTAGAGGTATATGTGAAGATGTATTTCTATGTGCTGTACTAGCAAAACTAAATGAACACATAAAGAGTTAGAATGGCTTATTGTCTTGTTGGAGTACTAATGTTTGATATGTTTTGGTCAGAGTTACAACATATTAAATTATCTATCTTTGCTCACCACATGTCACCAGTTTTTTATCATCAGATGTGCATACATTTAAAGATTATATATTTCTGTCACAGTGAGTAATGTTATACCTGCAAATGTCAAGTTACTACATTTTGTATTGTAGGATCTGACAACACATGCCACTGCCTTTGTTATCAATGCCCGATCCAAGCATCGTCTGTCACAGGTAAAATGCTTCCTATGTAACCTTTTTGGACTAAAAGCATTATGCCATGTGTGATCTGCTTCTCAGAACATATTAACAGGAAATATTTTGTGTGCGACAAAGAAATGCAAATGAGCATTTATTATCCAGAAATTCAAGCCATTCACTCTGACTAACCCAGTAAGGGATTTCCCATATTTTATTACAATTTATAATCAGACACAGTGTAGCCATATATTAAGTTAGACCTAGTTTTCTTTGAGAACAGAGCACAGTATTTGGCTACCTACTGTACACAGTTAGCAGTTAATAGTGGTTCACTGATGGCCGAGTTCAGTTTTAGTGCTTTGTTATCCACTTTACTGTTGTGTCTATGTCATAAGCAAAACTGTATATCACATAAAGCTACAGTGATCATGATAATGTTTACCAACATCAAAGATTGATCACATCGCTTTCAATCTCTCATTTTCAGAAAGGCATGAATGACATTGTTGCTGGGGTACAGCAGTATCAATCATCACTATTGGACAACCTCAGGACGCAGATGAAGGAAGTTCTAAAGAAGAATTCAGGAAGTACAACCAATCAACTTGGAAAAGATGCAATGGATATATTTGACAGTTTCATTGACCCCTTTGCTAACGTTTCAACAACATTTCGCCAGAACAGTGTTATTAGGAAGCAGTTTTGTTGTGTGGATGCAGAGGAAATTCCAATTGCTCGAACCATATGCAGGAAGAAACGTGGAGGATCAACAGATTTTGTCATCAAAGACAAATTATTTTATTATGTACCATTAGTCAAAAGTGTAGAGCAGTTCCTATTACATCCGAGGATTTTGACTATGATTGAAGAGGTACCCCAGAGGTGCAGTGAAGGTTTTTTTCATGACCTTGTTGATGGTTCTCTTTTAAAATCTCATCCCTTATTTTCAGAGAAACCAAATGCACTGCAGATTATTCTGTATACAGACGAAATAGAGATCTGTAATCCACTAGGATCCTTTTCATCAAAGAACAAGTTGTTAATGGTGTACTACACCCTAGGAAATATAAATCCAAAATACAGGTCTAAGCTGGCTGCTATTAGGCTACTTGCGATGGCTAAATCAGCAGACCTCCGTCAATCTGGTGAAGATGTAATATTGAATAGAATAAAGGAAGACATGGATGCATTGTACAGTGGTGTTAAAATTCAAACTATTAACGGGGAGAAAACAATACATGGTGCTATGGTTTCTCTCTGTGGTGACACCCTGGCACAGCATGAACTCGCAGGGTTCAAAGAAGGAGTGGGCTTTGCTTACAGTAAGTGCAGACACTGTGAGTGTTCTTTTGAGGACATGCAGTCACAATTCAACGAGGATGCATATATTAAAAGAACATTGGAGAATCATGTCAGACAGTGTGATGAAATAGAAATGGCTAACACAGACTTGCTTCGCAACAGCCTTAGAACAACATATGGGATCAATCGAAGGAGCAAGTTAGTTGACTTCCCATCCTTTGATATTATTCGGCAAACCCCGCAAGACATTATGCATGTCATTCTTGAGGGTATAGCTCCTCTGGAAATTAAATGTGTTTTGAATCATCTTGTTCAGTCAGGAGAGTTAAATCTGGACTCTGAATTCAGCTATTCTTGGTTTCCCTTATTCGCCTCTAGATGTTAGAGATCGACCTTCCCCAATTTCTCCGAGTACACTGATGTCAACTGATGGTAAACTAAGGCAGTCATCAGGGCAAATGCTTGTCCTGTTGAGGATATTGCCATTTGTTTTGGAACATTTGAATGTCAATGCATATGTGCAGTTGATAATGGACTTAATAGAGATTGTTCAAATAGTGTTTGCACCTGTTCTTACCATTGCAACTGTGTCAAGGTTAAAGTTACTGATTGAAAGTCATTTGAAGCATTGGAAGGAGCTTTTTCCAGACCACAATGTTACACCTAAGCAGCATTACATGATACATTTGCCATCACAGATAGAATCATTGGGTCCCATGGTCAGACATATGTGTATGCGGTTCGAGTCTAAGCATTGTTTATTTAAGCAATGGGCCTCCAAGCTCAATTTTAAAAATGTATGCAAGTCTTTGATTAATCAGAACCAAATATATGAAAGCTGCCAAAATGTTGACCCTTCCAAGCACCCAATTTTTTCAAATGAAAAGGAGATGGGTCCTGTATCTGAGGTTAGAGATCTACAATATTTACATGGGAAATTGAGGGACTTCCTAGGTTTCAGTGAAATTAACCATGCTGTATCAGTGAAATGGCTTGTGATAAATGGTAATAAATACAGTACTGAGAAGTCCTTGATCCTTGCCAATGTACTAAATGGTAATACACCCGAATTTGGACTTGTCAAAAGCATATTTCTTGTTGATTCTAAGCTTTATTGTTTGGAATATCAGCCTTTTCAGTCCATATGCTTTGATAGAAATATTATGGCTTATCAAGTTGAGGTCCCACACCTTGCACAGGCCACTGAGTTAGTGGATGCTGAAAAGCTGGTTGATTTTACCTCTTATTACACAATCAGCAGAAAGGGCCAAACCTATGTACAAGTGAAATACTATCTTGGGGATGTAATGGAATTACACAACAGTTCAAATGACTCATAGCGTGTTCCTTTGATATGATGATGTTGAAACATTTAAAGCAAACTTAGCAGGTTTAAATGTAGGACTAAGGTCCTGACTTAGGATATGTTATTAGCAGATTCAAATGTTAGCTGTTTGGATTCCAGATGGGTTTTGCATTATAGTTTGCAGTGTACCTAAATCATCTGTATCTTTGTATAATACTGGGTCTTTCTTTCAGGTTGTTTTAAATGTTAATTACATAACATGTTATCAGCCATTTAGGTGTTTATCACAATGCTGTTTATGTTTGCTAAATGCCCTTGGCCTGAATAATGTAACCTACTTTAACTTTTCAAATGAGATGTTCGCACATATTGCTCAATCACTTTAGCTTGCTGAAGAATAATACATGCTGAAAAGAATGTTCTTAATGCAGTAGTTTGACTTGGCTGGTGCTGTTATTTCTGTATACTGCATTTCATATATGGACATACTTAATTGATGTACTGGGTTTTAGAGCGACAATAAAACAATGAATTTCATTTGGTCCTTATCTGTTTTTAATATGTTAAGAGATGAAAAAGGATAGGATGCTTGCAATAAGATATTCTGACTTTGAAAAAGCAGTTTTCTACTTATCAGTGTTGATCTAATATCTTTAGAATTATGGTATTTCTCAATTTAAACATTAATTTACTCAGAATCAGTATTAAAATCTCAAAAACAAGTAATAAAACCTCATTAAGATAATGAAGTAAAAAAACACTTAATGGAAGTGAAATTCACTACAGCAAAAACTTCTTTGTAAGAGGAAATATCTTGGCAGACAAAATATAAGCATATTTTGTCTTGATTTAAGATATTTCATCTTAGTAAGATTTCAGTTTTTGCAGTGTGTGCTGCTGCAACCCAGTCTCATGGCATTTCGTGTTCACCAACACGATTTTTAATCTATTGATTCGTGTTGCACAGCACGATTTTAAAAGCAATGTATTTCTACTGGTAATGTGTTTCATGCCTGCAGCACGTCTTTTTCTCCGGTCGGGTCGTGGAAGACCGGAAGCTGTGGGGTTCATAAAAACATGTTCTTACTCAATATCAATCCACAATTATTGCTTTTATTTTAAATCGTATAATTTCGGACTTTTGTTGCGGTCTGTGAGGAAAATAAATGGGGCTCAGAGCCTCAGGATACTGAAATCTGTATTTTTTAAATATTTTTTTCCTTTTAATTTGTTATTCTTTTCAAAATAACACACTGTTATTTACTCACCAATAACACACAATTAACCTTGCTTTTATTTATTGGTTTAATTCCATAATCTCTGGCTTTTTTGGCCTCCGTCAGGAACTGAATTTCAAAATAAAAATAACCGGAAACAGACGTAGGACTTTAGGATGGCCAAAGACACTACACTACCCATAATCTCCAGATATCGTTTAGGACTAATAAATAAAAACAAGGATAAGTGTGTGTTATTGTTGAGTAAGTGTGTTATTTAGAAAATAATAACAAATTAGAAGGAACAAATACATATTTCAGTATTCTGAGCCCCATTTATTTTCCTCACGGACGGCAACAAAAGTCCGACATTATACGATTTAAAATAAAAACAATAATCGTGGCTTGATATTGAGTAAGAACATGTTTTTATGAACCACGCAGCTGCCGGTTTTCCGACCGGACAAAAAGACGTGGTGCAGGCACGAAACATACTACCAATAGAAATACATTGCTTTTAACAACAATAAATGCCTTGAGACTGGGTTGTAATACGAGATAATTTCTATGTATATATTTATTTATTCTTACTGTTATTCTTTGGGACGGTGACAAAATGGCATTTCGATCTCCCTGTTTGTATCACACAAAGACAAATGAACAATAACGTTGACTTTGAGTTATGGGACTGCTGAAACCTTTTATATTTATTATTGTCATGTTACATTATTTTCAGGCAATATTATTATCAACACTTTGTGGCGGGTGCACAGGGTATGTAAATGAGGTAATGGGAGATCAGAAAGGGAAGGGCGCAGAGTGAGAGCACACATTTCTTAGTAGACACGGCAGATGCTAAAAACCCAACTACACTTGTAAATCAAAACGTGGTATTTTGCAACCTCTGCAATAAACATCAGACTAAACTGCATCTAATGAACGGAAATGTGTCACTTTCAACACTTTCCTGTATATTAATTAAACTAGTAAAGAGGACATTGGGATATTTGAATTGCCATTAGAGGGACTGTGTTGCCAAGCATCGACAATTTAAACTGAAAGAATATGAATTTAATGGGAAATATGCATCAGGATATGTTACTGGTGAGTCTGTCTGACAGTTTATTAAAGCCTTCCGGCAACAGATGTCATTTGCTAAACGCTGGCGTACTCCAACGGTCGGCAAATGCTGCCTAACCAATTTACCACTTTAGTCTGGAGAATATACATTTGGAGAAGTTGTTCTTAAATTCAATCTGGCTTTGTAAGTATAAGAGCAATATGAGCACAGCTGTGACGCAATCCAAAATGGTTGTTGTTGAGTCATATTCACGCTGGTTTTGCCAAGAAAAAGCGGCGTGAACCGTAATGTCATGACGGGGCTTCTTCAGAGCTGTGGACGGCGAAGAAGCAGCACCAGCATAGAACTAGAAAATAACTTACTTCAGTGGAAAAGGGGTGTGTGTCTGTTGCAGTGGCGGTTCTAGAACATTTTACATGGGGGGGCAAAGGGGGGGCAAGAGGTCATGCCAGGCTGGCATGGGAGGGCGGAGAGTACGTGGTATTTTATACTGTATAACCTATTTATTGTTAATTCATGCCCTAACACAAGTGTTCTTAATGCACAAGAGAAACAAGGTGTTCAGACAAACAATCGGGTGCCCTTTGAGTCCCCCAAGCTTACTTCAATAATTTTAAATGAAAGGAAACTACAAAATGTAATTTAAAGCAATGAATTAATGGAACAGGTTGTTTTGCATTACAATGTAAAACTAAATATATATATTTTGTTTTTAAAAAATTGGTTGTCTTAGTATTAGTGCATGTCCTCACTAAGCATTATTACATATTAATTTAATATTAAACAAATCAAAATGGCCAATTATCCCAAAATGTTGCTGCTAATATAATCATATGCTTGTCAACTTTAACTGATCAAAAATAAATTCTGAAAAAATACTTGAATTATCTATGAAATTGCAATATTGTCCCTCAGTTTGTTTCAACCCCGTCACGCCATATCATTTACCCTCCTATTAAAATAATGGATCAGTCCATGTGTGATCTGCATTGAGGGAATTACATCACAAAAGTGTTTCTTCTCTTACCTATATTTCAGTTTTTGTATTTTCAGATTAAGATTGACAAGCTCAACATTTCAACTCTGTTGTATGAATTAATAATAGTAAATAATTGTTTATTACAAAATAAACAATAGTTTTGCAAAATATTGCAATTTTGTAATGTCCTTGACTTCCATGTGGTGCCATATCTTAGCTAAACGAGGTCTCATGCCTACTTTTTGTCAAAAACTTCAACCATGTTACATTTTTTCAAGGAAATTCCTAGTAATTATTTATATTTTGTGCCTGAGGTGGGAACATGTAAGTAGTCCACTACCAGATGTTATGACCAAACATTTCGGTTTCATTTTTCAAAGATATAAAGACCCAAAAGGCACCCGATTCAGAGAATACTCAGAATTCTGCATACTGTAAGTACTTAATTATAATTAAGTACACAAATGACATCACCCATCTCTTCAGAGAGCTAAAGGTGAGCTGTGCGGCAAGACATTTCAATCAATATTTGTCAATACTAAGAGCTGCTAGATTGTGCTGCTGTATTGGAATATGTAAGGAGAATAAGAACATACCATGTGGTCCAGCTGGAGTTTCCTCTGCCTCCTGATCCCTGCCTCTGGATCACTTTCTGATACTTCATCTTTATTCCTCACATATATTTCTTCTTCTTCACTAATGTCTTCATCTCCTCCTCTTCCTCCTGCTCTGATCCTCCTGGTCTCTTCAGTGAACTCTCTTTTCCTTTTCCTCTTTCTGTTCGTCCTGATCACTTCTCATA